CACTAACTGATTTCAAAACTTGCCTTACTACAAAGCTACAGTATTCATGACAGTGTGGCTTTGGCAAAAGGACAGACGTAAATTAATGGAACAGAGTAGCGAATACAGAAACAGACCCACATACATAGGGTCAATTAATTTTCAACAAAAGTACAAGGCAATTTAATGGTGAAAGGAATAGCCACTCAACTGAATATTCTTATAAAAGAAATGAACATTGACCCTTATTCTCATATGATCAACTGATTTGAAATGGATCACAGATCTAAACATAGGAACTAAAACTATAAAGCTTCTAAAAAGAAAAAAACAAAAACAAAAAATTTTGGCAGTCTTGGGGTAGATAGATATTTCTTAGGATTTAAAAAGCATGAACCATAAGAAAAAATATATATAAACTGGACTTCATCAAGTTTAAAAACTTTTGCTCTCTGAAACACACTGTTAAAAAAAAAGATCAGCCACAGAATGAGAGAAAATACTTGGAATATATATATCTGATGAAGTTCTTATATCCAGAGTATATCTATCTTTCTATACACACGTTAGAGTAATAAACAATGAAGATGTGTTTTACAGGCATGGAGACAGACAAACTGACCAAGAAACAGAAAAGATGGCTTCTCCAAAGATTCTTGTTGGACTTTCCCGCTGGTACAGCGGATAAGAATCCGCCTGCCAATGCAGGGGACGTGGGTTCAATCCCTGGTCCGGGAAGATTTCACACGCAGAGGAGCAGCTACGCCCATGCGCTACAACCACCAGGCCTATACTCTAGGGCCTAGAAGCCACAACTACTGAAGCCCATGAGCCTAGAGCCTGTGCTCCACAACAAGGGAAGACGCTGCAATGAGAAGCCCACACACCACAAAGAAGAGTGGCCGCAACTAGAGAAAGCCCATGTAGCAACCAAGACCCAGCACAACCAAAAATAAATGAATAAACAAACAAATAAAAACTTTAAGAAAGATTCTTGTATATTTGGAACTCTACATGACAGAAATAGCAAGACAGATCAGTGGGAAAAGAAGAGATTATTCAAAGTGATTATCCATAAAAGAAAAGAAAATCTGGATCCCACTTTGAACCATGCACAAAATTCGATTCCAAATGGACTGAAGATTTAAAAGTCAAGAATCCAAACTTGTAGAAGAAAACATAAATTCCTTTCTGCCTTGGGGTAGGGAAGGATTTCCTGAGACACACAAAAGAGCTGACCATAAAGAAAGAGACTGATCAACTGGACAACTTGAAATTAAACTTAAAATTCATCACAAGGTATCTTAATGAGACCACAAACCAGAGGAACATATAACTGAAAAGAACTAGTAGCCAGAGTACACACAGAATTTTACATTATTAAGAAAAAGACAACGCTACAAAGCTGAAACAGGCAAAAGGCATGAAGAGGTATTTCATCACAGAGGATCTACCTGACCTTACTGATAATCAAAAAATATAAACCAAGGGACTTCTCTGGTGGTCCGGTGGTTAAGAATCTGCCTGCCAATGCAGGGTTTGATGCATGGTCCGGGAAGACCCCAGCCACAACTACTGAAGCCCACTCATCGAGAGCCTGTGCACCACAAGAGAAGCCTCCGCTCCCTGCAGCGAGGGAAGGCCCATGCGCAGCAACAAGGATCAGCACAGCCAAAATAAGTAAATAAATAAATTTAAATACACACACAAAAACACCAAGATCATAGTGAGGTATCATTTGCATCCATTATCGTCTTAAAAAATGTTTTATTGACGTATAGTTGATTTACACTGTTGTATATCCACTGACTTTTGCAGGAGCTTAAACAACTGAGCTCCAAAACTTAGCAACTTAAAAGAAAAAAGTCATTTACTATTTCTCATGGTTCTGTGAGTTAGATTGGGCAGTTCTGGTCTGGGCTAGCTTGGCTCTAGAGCTGGGCTGGTCTAAGCTGGATGCTCCAACCAGTCGCCCACACCCCAGCAGGTTAGCCTGGGCCCTTCTTCGCGCGGTGGGCTCCGGGTTCATCAGAACATTATGAGAAGACCGGCCCCGACGAGCAAGTGCTTTTCAAGTCTCTCCTTGTGGTCATCCTTCCTGATGTCCCTTTGCCCAGAGTAAATCACATAGTCAAGTACAGAGACAAGGGGTGGAATAACAGGCTCTAGAAGTAAAAATCATATTGCTGAGGGGTATGCATAAAATGATGAAAAGAATTTGTGACCATTCTGGAATCCAACAATTTCATAACCCACTAGATTACTCTTCTTTACATGCATTCCTTTGTATTGAAATTTGTATTTCTCATCCTGACCTCTAGATTTGTATACCTAATGGCAGAATTTGCATGAATCCTAATCACCTCAAATTTAACATGTACTTTCTTCTCCCTCCCCATCCCCCTTCTTGTAATAAACCTGGTCCTTCCCAAACCTTTCCTTTCCCAGTACTTGGCATAACCATCCACCCAGTTACTAAATCCAGAAGAACAGTCATCCCTGACTCTTCTCAATTCCTTACCCCTCATATCCAAGACTAAGTCCTACTCCATATATATCTAGTGTCCACCCACTGTGCTCTCCACGTTTTTACATCCACTCTGATCCAGGCCATTCCCTCACTTGGACTACTGCAATGGACTCAATGTCTCTCTCCATTTCTACTCTTGCCCCCTTCAATTCATCTTTCACATATGAGCAAGAATAAACTGCTTATAAATCATACTCCTCTCCTACTTGAAACTGTAGAAAGACTAGTGCTAATTACACTAAAAATCAAATCCAAACTCATTTCCATAGTCTACATAATCTGGACCCTGAAAGGTTCCTACCTCATCTCACATCACTATATTCTTGGTGATCCATGCTAGTCTTAAACAAGGACATATCCACATTAACTCTCTCAAATCCTTGTTTGTTTCCTTCCTAACATTTATTACACTGTGCTTATCCTTTCATTTTTGTATTTTTTTCTCTATAGTGTTCCTAACTAAAATATCTATTGGTTTTTGTTTCCCACTGTTTTCCCCAGAATTTGGTAAAAAGCTTAAGACATAAGGTGCTTGTTCACTGATTGGATGAATGGACAGATATGGCAAGAGATACTGCAAAATGATCTTCTCATGCAAAGAAAGTAGTTTACAAGACATCGTTAAGCATCAAACCCCCAAATTTCAATTCTCAAAGTCTGTGTTATAGCTTACACATAAAATGTAAACTGTTAATAATACAAAAAAGTTGAAGTAATGCCCTACAAGAACAACTCATTTGGCTAAGAATCCTACATATGTTGTAAAATATTCATGAAACGTGAATATATACATGTATATATTTATTGAAACTTCATTAATAATGAGGTAACAATAACCAAGTAAGCAGCAACACAAAGATATGCTTTCCAAAGAGGGTTGGGAAAACATTCTTAGCAACTGCTCAGTAGACCACACAATGACATAACAACTTCGGTTAACTATCTGGCCGCGCTTTTCTAAGGCTTTACTTAAACCTTACTCAGCTAACCCTAACAATAAAGGTATGTACTAACCTCAATATCTAGGAGTAAACTGAGATAATAAGAGGCTAAGTAATTAGCCTAAGGGTTACCCAGTAGTAGATGTGGAATTTGAACAAAGGCCATCTAAATTCAAAGCCTAGGCTCTTAACACTATTTATGCAGTCCTTCCAGGGAAATCTATAAAGATCAAGATTTTATTAATGAACCTCAAGAATAAGAGAAAACACCACAATGACCTACTGAAAAGATTTTTTCATTTCTGGAACACTGACAAACTCTTTAAATTATAGTTAAGAGACTAAATAAGTTTGGCGAAATCAATGGAAGCAGAAAGATTCTTAACCGGACAAAAAATTAACTCTTCTACAGTGGCTCTTTACCCGGAATGAAATAATTACACTGAAATTATAAACAGCTTGGGGAAATTTTTTTATCAGGAGCAAAGAAATTAATACAGCTTCCTCCTACTCATTAGCAAGAACACTCACTCAAGTAGAGACATGTGTTACAAAGATCTTCTGTCTTTTCCACTTGCCAGAAAGAAGACACCTTGATATCCGATAGTAGTGAAGCATGAACTCAAGAGTAACTATTCTGAAGAAGTAAATTTTTCCTTTCTTTATACCACTCCACTGCAAATCTTGCCAAGAACAGTTTTTGTTTTCCTAGAATTTACAAGACTAAATCAGCTAAAAAGGGGGGAAAAAAAAATGTATTCACACATATAGATCCCTTTAGTACATAAGAAACCATTTTCGTGCACGCCAGGAAATATTGCCAAACCAAATAAAGATGCCTGGAGACAACCTCAGCAGAAAGAAAGAACACTTGGGACCTCATTTCCAGCTCGGGTTCTCGCACTACCTAAGCCATATGACCTCAGGCAAGCCAATTACTGACTGTTTCTGGGCCCTGATTTTCCCCTCTGTTAAATGAGCAGAATCCAACTATGTGTTCACAGAGGTTGCATCTCATTCTAAATATTGCTTTCAATAAGTTTCAGTGAAATAACGTAAGGCTTTAGCTAACTACATGTAAGCACCCAAAAGTTCAACTTCCTCTACACTTGTAAATTCTTAAGTGACAGTACCTGAAGGCCAAAAAAGATCAAATTTAAACTCCCAAATGCAAAACTAAACTCATTTTCAAGACACCTACTTATTAACCAAGGTGACTAATACAGTAGATTACAGTTTCAACTACTCCTGGCCAGCTTTTATTGCGTTCAAAAGGAGGGCAAAGATCATCTGACAAAAGTATGTGATAAAATTTTCAGAGAAGAAACATACTTAATAATACAAAACATCAAATTCTGAAATGATCAAAGTTAACAGTATTCTCCACTGATATATTTTCTGCTTTCAGAGTAAAATAACAGTATCACTATATTGTCATTTATATAGTGATTTCACATTTACTATCTCACTTAATCATTGTGACAATCTGTGAAGTAAGCAGCATTTTAATCAACACAATTCAGGTCAGTTTAGAAAGTTAGGTAACTTACCAACCTACGCTCAGCAAGTGTTGGAGCCCAGACTCCACTGTAGGTCTTCTGATTTAAAGTTTAATGATCTTTGCAATCCTAAAAAGTGATAATTCAAACCAAACTCAGGAAGAAGTTGGAAAGTGGGAAAATCTGGATAATCAGTCCCTGAATAACTGGACTGAACAAAAAGAATATAAGACCAGGTTTAGCAGTGTCAAGTTAAAAAGAAATTTACCAGCTGTTAAAAATGGTAACATCTAATTTATATAATTCCACATCTCAAAAATCTTGTCACCTGATTTCACACAACTGTGAAAAAAATTTTTAACTCAAAAAGAAGAAAAATATAAACAAGAAAAAAAATATAAAATAAAAACAAACTGATTAAACTAGCTATAAGATATTAAATTGCTAAAAGGCACATTAAATCACTTATTGAAATCTTTCAGAAATTTGGTTATTCTGGAATGTTAATCACAGGTATTAAATTATGCTAATCAGGTAGGATATAGTCCTCAAAGGAAAAAAAAATGCTTCAACCTTTTAAAATAATATGGGCAAAGAAGTATAATACAAAAATCTCTACTGTAGAGTCATTTCACACCTATATAAATTGGCCTCATATGTCTGGGACCCACCACCTCTTCCAAAGGTCAATAAAAACATAATCCAAACATAATGCATAGAATGCTGCCTAGTAAATAACAGTTTCTTACTATTATCATTTATGTTAAGAATACACAACTAAAATCAGGGCTGAAGACAATAATACAATTAATAGGTAGTAAGCAGTCAGAACATTAAATTCTCTACAACATTAGAAATACTTGTACAAACTCCTCCAAAGGATCAGTGCAATCTGTCTACAAAATTTTTGACAAGCTCTAAAGGAGAGGTGAAAGACATTAAAGTTAGGAAAAGGAGCTATGTTGTCAAGACAGGTATCAGTGCCACAGCTTATATATTATGAGATTTTTTTGATATGAATTTTCAGGAAAACAAACAAACAAACAAAAACCAGTGCAAAACTTACTGGAGGTCACAAATAACTCTCAAGCAGTGTCACATAGGGTCACATATGGCTTCCTGGAAGTTTATTAGAGATGTAGCTAACCTTCAACTTTTATCGCAAATACCCTCACCGTAAAGAAATACAGGCGGTCAGGGATTTGGAAAAGGCAGAGAACGCTATTCCTCATGGAAGTGGGAAATAACGTGGAGGTCCTCTGCCAGAGATCTACGGAGGGAGGCCCCATTCCCTTGGCCACCAACGCTTTAGAAGGCACTCACACGTCTGAACTGTGTTTAGAAATGAACAGATGATGGAATCAAGGGGTAGTGGCTGGGAGAACGGGAACCCCGCTGACAAATCCCGAGAAACAGCTTGGTCATCAGCAGGCGAGATCTTCATTTACTCTAAGGTTCTAGACTCCGAGAGACGAAGAGGGGCTGGGTACTCTACAGAAGCTCAGGGCGGCTTCCCATCCCACCGCGATGAGGGGAATGGTCAGCAGTTCAATGCATGGGTTCAGCTTACCAGTGGCCAATCACCGGGAGGTGTCCCAAATAATTTAGATACTGTCAGACTGAGACAGAGTCAGCAGCGCTCTACAAGACTGCTGGCAGTCGAACCACGGTGCCCTACATCTGCACCGTCTGGGCGCAGAAGTCGAGCTCTGAGGATCGTCTCAGGCGTCCGTCCCCAGTTCCCCGCGCTCGCTTACCTACCCGCTCTCACTCCGGCTTCTCGGATCTGGGGATCCTGAAAGCGACTCCCGACCGACTCTCACACCCGCCGCTGGGCTCCGGCCAACAGGAACTCGCTCGCGTCACTTCCGGTCCGTTCTCCCCCGCGGGAGACCGCCTCCAAAAGAAAAACGTTCCCCTCTCCTTTGGGCCACCTCAGCGGGTCGTCGCGGGATTTCAGTTCGGGTCTGGGTTAGGGACCTGTGGGCGGGGCCAAAGGAAGAATGACTGTTCTCGTCGCCGTTCTTGATCCGGAACTTGTTGTCGAGATACCCCGGAAGAGGTAACTCGCGTGAGAGCGGCGTGTTCGGTACCCAGAACTGAAGAAGGCGAAGGCGCCAGTGAGGCGGAGGAGAGGTGCGCTTGGTAGGTCGGCCTCTCCCGGGAGAGGGATGTTCTTGTTGACCCTCCAGTTGGAGTGTTTATTACTGTTTCATTCTATAAGAAATCACCCCCTCACTCTCATCTCCTTTCTGAACTGTCTACCACCCAAGTGGCCCCTGGAGCCACTCTTCCGGTTTGGCCAGTCGTCTTTTGAAAGAAAGGACCTAGCTGCTAGGGAGGGGAAGGGCCCAAAATTTTAGTTCCCGGTCAAGGGCTCCGGTCGGGGAGCATCGATGCCCTCGCTCCGAGTGTGAGAAAATACCGAGCAGGCCTCACACTCTGCCGAGTTTTGAAGACCCACATCGTAGCAAGTTGTCCAGTGCTAGGAGGAAAGAAAAGACTTCTAAGAATATGATGGAAAAGTTGCCGCGCTGTGTCCCACGAACATAAAGAAATCTATAATCCTTGAACATTTTACCCCAGGCACTGTACTAAATGTCGCGAATATGCGCTACAGTGGTTATGTGTGATTGCTCCAGGACGTTTTTGTGTTTTAAGTGGAGAGATAATTATTTAAGGGAGAGATTGCTGCTTGAAAACACCTGGTAATTTGGTGTGACTGAATAGTAGACTATGTAGCAGATTAGGTTAGAAGGATAAAATAGGTTGAAACCAAATTGTGTATTCTTTGAATTTCTGCTAAGGGATTTATATTTTATTGTTACCCCACCGAACTTGAGTCCACTTGTGCAACTCGTAACGAAAACCAGTCTGTTGACACTGGGTTGTGGTGAAGAAAAGCACGTTTATTTCAGGGCTCTAAGCAAGGGACTGGGAGACAAGCCTCAAATCCACTCCAATTGGGTGTTCAGTTAGGGTTTTGTTTTGTTTTTTTAAGGAGAGAACAAAGAGGCTGGAACTAATCATTTTTTGACATTTCTGTGACTTTTTTTTTTTTAATTGGAGGATAATTGCTTTACAGTGTTTTGTTGGTTTCTATTAAACTCTGTGATTTTTTTCATAATTGTAGTTTCAGGAGTCAGGATGTCTCTGGTTTATAATTCTTCTCTGGCCAAGTGGCCCGTGGCATGAGGGTCTGTTAACTCATCTTGCCCGGGAGAAACGACCCGAGTTGTAGGTGGTGTCTGCAGTTTTACTGTATTGACAGTGTATTGACAACAGCCGTTTTAGTCATCAGCTCTGGTTGATTAGTCTCAAGTTTCGCAGGATTGAGGTCACAGTGGACAAGAGAGAGAATAAAGTTTTGGATAGAGAGATTAATCATAAACTTGGTAAGGGGACTGCGTATTAGGAGGACTTGGTTTCCTTATTCCTTAGATGCTTATCCAGTGAGTTTTGAGCAGAGAAATTACAGATTACAGAGAAATTACAAATCAGATTTGTGATTTATAAGTACAATTAATTATAATGGCAGATGTACTAGGACAAAATGAAGAATATGGAAAGATTATTGGAAGTTTGAGAGGGAGGGAAAAATACTGAGTTCAGTATAGACCACTTCATAGACATCTAAATGGTAAAATCTAGCAGAAACTGGAAGTTCAAGTGTGGAGCCCAAGAGAGGCTGTAAGAATCCTCAGCATCTATTGTTTCAGGAATAAGTGAGATTGTTCATTTGACAAACTATTTATTTATTGTCTATCTCCTCCTACTAGAATGTTAGCTCCACAAAGAGAAGGATTTTGTTTTGTTCAGAGCTCTATCTCCAGGGTCCAAAACTGTGCACAATAGGCTCTCAGAAAATATTGATTGATTGAATGGAAAGAGGATATATAAACCAGCCCTGTCAAATAGAAATTTCTTCAGTCATGGAAATGTTCAGTGTCTTGCTAACTCAGAGTGGAGCTTAGCCACTTAAAAAAGTCATTTAGCTATATGTGGCATCTTCGTTCCCTGACCAGGGATCAAACCCGTGTCCCCTACACTGAAAGGTGGACTCTTTTTTAAGTAGAAAAGAATAGCTTTATTGTTTGCCAGGCCGAGGGGACCACAGCAGGCCCTCAAAACCAGGAGTCCCCACTTGGGGAAGATAGAGAAGTTTTATAGTAACTGTTCAAAGGGGGCATGACCAGCTCGTGGCCATTGTTCTGATAGGTTGGCGGTGCAGTAAGTGGGAGTCAGCATCATCGACCTTCAGGTCCACTGGTCTGGGGTCTACATGCTTCTGGTCCACTGGACCATCAGGGAAGCTCCCTAGCCACTTCTAAGTTGTTGAGCTATTGAGCATTTGAAATGTGGCCATATGTAACTTAAAAACTGAATTTTTATTTCATTTTAATTAAGTTTAAATAACTGCATTTGGCTAATAGTTGTTATATATGACAACATAGGTAGAGACTGAAAAGAGGGTGAAATGTGTAAGCTTGGCTAATACACACATCAGTGGCAAACAGAAAGAGATAATGGGGAAAAGGTGTCAGAAAGGTAGGATGATAATAGGGTGAATGTTGTGTTAAAGAATTCAAGGGAAGAAGGTTTAAAGAAAAGTTATCAGTGATGGTGCAGAAAACAAGATGAGGCCTAAAAAGTGGCAGCTAGATAGTGTCTTAATTCTTTAGCAGTTTCAGTCGAATAGGAAAGGTGGGCAGGTAACCGAAGAAATTTAAAGATGAAGAGGAAAAGTGAGGCAGTGGTTTAAGGGTACAAGAGGATGGATTTTTAGATTGGAAAAGGCCAAGGGGCAGTTGCCAGTGGAACAGGATTAGCGGGTGGAGCATGGTTCAAGAGGTAATAGAATCACAAGCACTGGTGAGAGGGGTTTAATCTGGCCATTTGAAGGCACCAAGAGGAGGGTCTTATAGGACTTGTTCCTTTTGCAATGCCATCATTGCCTGGGACAATAGAGATGAGGCTAAAAATAGTTGACCTTAGTTTCAAGCACTGGGTTTATTGATAAATGTTTATAATAGATATGCAGAAAGGAGGACAACCTGAAACACCTTTTATGGGTTAGATGATGATCTGATCAGGCTGATAGGAGATTAAAAGAACAGAGATGTTAGCATTAAGCTCACATTAATTAGAATTAATTGGAATTAGGGACTTCATAAGATTAGGGACAGAAGCAATAAACAAACTTGGTTCTTTCTGGAACTTTTTCTGCTTTCTATTTATGGTGACTCATTAGTATATCTTTTTAAATAAAGGTGAGAAAATGAGAAACTTTCCACCATGACCTTTTAGATGAGTATATTTTATACTGCTCTTACTAGTTTTGTTGCTGTGGATAAGCAACTTCTCTGATCATTATTTTTCTCATCTTTAAAGAGAGGCTGGTACTATCATCTTATTTTCATAACAACAATAATGGAAGTAAAGGGTTTTTAGCTTGCTATTCAACACACAATAGGTCCTCTGTATGTAGTGTCTTTCTCAAGATAGTACCTGAGTCTGGTATGTGGAATATTTGGTTATTTTGCAACCTAGTAATTGGTGCTGAAAATCCTTCTAATTCTTTGACATTGAAGTTTGTATATATGTATTTTTATATAATTGAATGTTTGTTCTATTTGTAGTCTGGCAGTTAGATTATCATAAAGAAGTTCTGCTGATCTGTAAGCATCATATAGTAACTAAATGATAGATGCTTTATGAGATAATGTGGGTTCTGATAAGAATTTTTTTTTTTTAAGAATTTTAAAAATTCTTTTGTGTGTGTGTGTGTGTGTGTGTCTGCCAAGGCATCTAGAGCCATAAAGTGCTGTCAGTGGAGCCCTGTGACCATTTTAGGCACAGTTGTGAAAGAGGACTGAAACGAGGTGCTGAAGATCTGACGGTTTATGACCCTCTTTGTCACTCTTTGTCACTCTCCTCTTATCCCTGATACCTGTTTGCTCAGGGTTCCTTTCTTCCCTCTGTATGCTTGACCCAGTGACCTTATCCGCTTATCAGCCTTCAGTCAACATGTTAAGTTCTTTTAAACATGTGTTTCTAGCTTACGCTTATCTTCTGACCTCTAAAATGACATGTCTTTTTCTTTTTCCTGGACATCTCAACCAGGATGTCTTTCGGTCAAATCTGATACAATATATTTAAAACATTTCAGTGTCTTTTGCTCTCAAACCTACTCTTTTCATCAGTAAAGAGTATACCCCAGTCTCCATTTGTTCAAATCTAGGTGTTGTTCTAAACTTCTCCTTTTCTTCTGTCACCAGACTTCCAGTGAATCACCAATTTATAGAGGTGTGCTTCCGCCACTTCTTTCCTCTCCCATTGTCACCACTGCTGTCTGACTGTCATCTCATCTAGACTGCTGGGAAAGGCACCGTAGAGTAGTGTTAAGAACACAGGCTCTAGAGTCAGGCTACCACTTACTAGCTTTGTGAACTTGGGTGAGTGACATATTCTCTGCCTGCCAATTTTCACATCTGAAAAATGGAGATAATAATTACATGTTTACTTAAAGGACTTCGGGGTTGGGAACACTGAAGGAGACAGTTCATGTAGAGTGTCAGTACCTAATATATAGCAAAGTATTCAGCAGTTGCTACCGGCCATGAAGTTAAAGGACGCTTGCTGCTTGGGCTTGCCTGCAGTGCGGGAGACCCGGGTTCAGTCCCTGGGTTGGGAAGATGGAGAAGGAAATGGCAGCCCACTCCAGTACTCTTGCCTGGGAGATTCCATGGACTGAGGAGCCTGGTGGGCCACAGTCCATGGGGTCTCAAAGAGTCGGACACGACTGAGCGACTTCACTTTCTACTCCTTGAAAGGAAAGTTATGACCAACCTAGACAGCATATTAAAAAGCAGAGACATTATTACTTTGCCAACAAAAGTCCGTCTGGTCAAGGCTATGGTTTTTCTAGTGGTCATGTATGGATGTGAGAGTGAAGAAAGCTGAGCACCGAAAAATTGATGCTTTTGAACTGTGGTGTTGGAGAACACTCTTGAGAGTCCCTCGGACTGCAATCCATCCTAAAGGAGATCAGTCCTGGGTGTTCATTGGAAGGACTGATGCTGAAGCTGAAACTCCAATACTTTGGCCACCTCATGCTAAGAGTTGACTCATTGGAAAAGACCCTGATGCTGGGAGGGATTGGGGGCAGGAGGAGAAGGAGACGATAGAGGATGAGACGGTTGGATGGCATCGCCAACTCAATGGACATGAGTTTGAGTAAACTTTGGGAGTTGGTGATGGACAGGGAGGCCTGGAGTGCTGCGATTCATGGGGTCGCAAAGAGTCGGACATGACTGACTGAACTGAACTGCTATTATAACATTATAGCAATCCCCTGTATCTAATCTTGCCAGCTTCTAATTCCTTCTTTATACCGAAGTCCCAGGTGATCTTTTAGAAAACAAAAATCATTTCCCTGCAGCAGTGTCTCATCGTCCCTAGAATTCCAAGCTGCCAAACATGGCTTACGAGGCCTTTTGCGGTCTGCTTCCTGCCCTTCTTTCTTGCTTTTTCCTCTGCCGCTCTCCCCTTCCATCTTCGGGGTGTCTGGACCACTTTCAGGTCACTTGCACACCATATTTCTCTCCTCTGGCTTTCCTACTTGGTGTTCATTCTGCCTGAAAGGATCTTTCCTCATTCTGTCTTCTTACTGATCCTTTGTTGCATTTTAAATATTTCCTCAAGGTGGCCTTCCCTGACCTCCTGAACTGAGCTAAAGCACTTTATATACTCCCCTACCATCTTTTCATAACATTGCCAGACATGTACTTGTCTCTCCTCCACTTATCTGGGAACTGTCAGTGGCCAGTTTTGTTCATCACTATACTCCCAGTCTAGCAGGGTATGTGTCTGGCACAAAGGAAGCCAGCAGACATTTGTGTTTTGTTTTGTTTTTTTTTTAACTTCTCTTTGCCTTCATTTCCTCATTTTCAATATATAGAAAGAATGCTGACCTCTTACGGTTATGTGGATCAAATAACACAATACCTTCAAAATACCACTGAAGCTTTGAGTTATGACAACATGAAGTCTTACTAAAATAAAAATGACCCTGGCAGTCAGTGGTTAAGACACCACTCTTCAACTGCAGGGGGCACAGTTTCAATCCTTGATTGAGTAACTAAGATTCCTGCATGCCACATGGCATGGCCAAAATTTTTTTTAAAAAATAAGAGATTCAAAATTAGGATTGGGTCATCTCGAAACCACTACCAGAATGTAAGCTCTGTGCATGAAGGGACTGTTTCTCCTCTATTCCCCTAGATTCTAGAGCACAGTTAATATCTGTGGGATGAAGGAGGCATAAAAATAAAAGAAGAAAGCAGATGCACCTAATGACAGCCTTTTGACTGTACTGCACATACCTATTCCTATAGCAACACTCTGGACTTTGTATCACCTTATAATGTTCTATTTCTAAACTCAAAAACCCAGATATCTCTCTCTAACCTCAGCCAACTGCCTTTCCAGTTCACTTCCATCATACCTATTCTTAATAGCATGTGGATATCCCCTGTCACCTTCCTGTCCTTACTTCCTTTCTCATGGCCTGTCATTGCAAACATTCTTGCTCTCACCCCAACTTCCCTTATGCCCTTGTGTCTTGGTGCTCACTGTTAGTAGAATTCAAACTTGCATAAATCCAGCCATCTGTTATAAAGGGGAAGATGAAAGAAGAATATGAGAGCGGCAGATTTAGTTATACGTTTGGAGGCAGTGATTAGGTGGTTTTAGTCTTTCGCCTTCTACTTTCTCTGTGAAGTATTAAGTTATCCCTTCTGTGTTTTTACCTGAACTGAGGCTGCTAAGTACTGCTGGAGAAAATCAGCTGGTAGATATGGTACCGTTATCCATCATTATTAATCCTAACCATGTTTTCAACATTGCTCCGCAGTCCTACAGTTGGAATGAGCGCAGCCATCACCGCTGCAATCCTGCTGTTTTGCTGCAACTTAAATATCAGTCTCCCTCTTTTCAACTCCAGTTTGACTTTTGTACAAACTATCTTCCTCCAAGGAACCATTTCCTGTTTGCAAGTCCACTCCTTTGAGATCTGGAGGCAGCCATGACTTATATGAAGCTCTATTTGCAAAGGCAATGAATTTTTGTTTCTGAATTAGAGACTTGAGTCATAAGGCACTGGAGAAGTGGTTCTCAACCCTATTGCGGGCCCAACACACACTTTTAAAAAAATAAAATTTGTAACAAATGTAAAATGGTATAGACATTTTAGAAAATAGTTTGGTGGTTCCTCCAAGTTAAGAGTTGCCATATTAGACCCACCAATTAAGACTTCTAGGTAAAACCCCAAAACAAATGAAAACAAATGTCCACAGAAAAGTTTGTATGTATAGCAGCATTGTTCATAATAGCCAAAAGGTAGAAACAGCCCAAATGTCCTTCAACTGAATAGATAAATAATGTGGTATACCCATTCAATGGAATATTATTCATCAGTAAAAAAAGGAATGAAGTATTGATACATGGTACAACATGGATGAACCTTGAAAATATTATGCTGGATGGTAGAACTCTGAAACAAGAAGCCACCTTTTGTATGGTTTGATTTATAGGAGTGTCCAGAATAAGTAAATCCATAAGGACAAGATGAGTGGTTACCAGAGACTAGGGGACGGAGAAATGAGAAGTGAGTGCTAACGGTTACAGGGGTTTCTTTGGGAGGCAATGAAAGTGTTCTGAAATTAGATAGTGGCAGTGGTTGCACAATATTGTAGATGTTAAAAACACTGAATTGTACACTTTAAAAAGGTGAATTTTATAGTATGCGAATCACATCTCAAAAATGAGGATTTCCCTGGTGGTCCAGTGGTTGAGAACCGACCTTGCAGTGCGGGGACGCGGGTTCAATCCCGGGTCAGGAACCGAGACCCCACATGCTGTGGGGCAGCCAAGCCCATGTGCAGCCACCCGAGGCCCCACACCATGCAGCCGAGACCCAGAGCAGCCAGTAAAGTCTAACGTCCTGTACAGTCTGTTCTTCTCATCCGTGTGCAGTCTTTAAAATATCTGATAAGTTTGCACACTTTGCCTACAGTATAATTTCAACATCCTAATTTTAACTTAAATGAGGATTTTTTTAAAAATTAATGATAAAGTATGAATTTCCAGGACTGCCATCTGTGCCACGCAGATTATACACTGTAGAATTCCAAGGGCACCACTTCTAAGGTCTACATACATGATGTACTTCATAAATGCTTAGATACCGTGTATTCCACTGGAAGAAACTGATGACTGTTTATACCTATACACTGAAGTATACTGAATCCAACAGCCTCAGATGTAGACTTATGTAAATGCTTTATTGATGATTCAGACACCATGAACAGCTTTGCTGGGGTAATAGGAATTTCTAAAGTAATAAAGGATAAAGGAGCATCTTCCTTTGTTTTTTATTATGGTTGTACTACTGGTAAATTCAGTGTGTTTTAAAACTATGCAAAAAGTACTTTGCATTCATATGCAAGGTGACACTGGGGTCTAGGCTCAGAGGCTAAGGTTTTCACCTACAGTAATGTCCAGGGGCACCAGTATTCACGCATGAGGCTTTCAGCTTTCTGTGCCAGGGTCGGTAGACGTCAGCAGCCCACCTCACTCCAGGCCCGTTGCTATGACAACCAGGAACTTGTCTGAGGGGTTGGTACATCAAGAACTACTGCATTATTGAAGACACAAGTGAATAAGCACTATATTTCAGAAAAGAGTGAGTTACTCCTGGTTCTTTTAGATACTTTAGGCATTTTGGTAAAACAGAACATTTCCTTTCTCCACAAGACTTAGCAAAGACTGAGGAGGAGAGCTGTTATATCTGAGAAGTGTACTCCTCACATTGAGATTCAAAATGACCTAACCTGCTTTGCCTGTATTTTTGAATTTTTTCTAGTACCCAGGGGAGAAAAAAAAAACAGTACCTCCCCAAGATCCAAAACAAATTTTGCCTTTTTTCTGGATGAATTAAAGTACTGCTGCTTATATACTGTCAGAGTGTTGTCTGATAAACGTGTAACTAACTTCCCCTCCCTTGATAATCACTGCTTTCTTTTCCTCTCAGATGATCTCCAGATCCCTGGTCATGGAGTATTTGACTAATCCTGGTGCACTTAGCTTGGCTGCCGGAGTTGCCTGTGGCGTGTGCCTGGGCTGGGGCCTCCGAGTGCGCTTTGGAATGCTCCCCAAGAGCTCAGTGAGGGAGACAAATGCTGACGCTGAGACGGAAGCAAGCATCCTCGGAGAGAGTGGGGAGTACAAAATGATTCTTGTGGTTCGAAATGACTTAAAGATGGGAAAAGGGAAGGTGGCTGCCCAGTGCTCTCATGCTGCTGTTTCTGCCTACAAGCAAATTCAAAGAAGAAACCCTGAGTTACTCAAAGAGTGGGAATACTGTGGCCAGCCCAAAGTGGTAGTCAAAGCTCCTGATGAAGAAACTCTGGTTGAATTACTGACCCATGCAAAAGTGCTGGGACTGACTGTAAGTTTAATCCAAGATGCAGGACGTACTCAGATTGCCCCAGGCTCTCGAACTGTTCTAGGAATTGGACCAGGACCAGCGGACCTAATTGACAAGGTCACCGGTCACCTAAAACTTTACTAGGTGTAATTTTGTATGATGATGGTGGTCCCACCACCACAAGTGTTTGAAACTGTCAAATTCTAACAATAAAAGCTGAACTTCTTCCCCCAGCTAAGTATTCTTGAGATGAAATTCCATTCACGTGTTCTTCTGTCATGTACTTGGCCTGGTTACAGAGTTATCTTGGGCTAAAAAAAAAAAAAAGTTTGGTTAATAGTCCTGGTGATTCAAGTGATGAGTGCTGAAACAAGAAATGTTTAAAATGAGAGGCACAGATCACAATAAAATTGGCCTAGAGGTGGGAAACATTTCCTGTGAGTGATTAGGCCCCTTTGTGTGTTACTAGGTTTTCTTCCAAGACTATGTTGCTGTCCTCCTTGGAGGATCAGGGGTTCTAGGGTATTCCTAATTTAGATGTAAACTGCAGTTTGTTTTTCCTTACCTCAGTTTTTGAGTATTTAAAATCTAACCTTGTGGATTCTTCCCAAAGCTGAGGTTTTTCCAGCACTGACCTAACCCCCCGTGCCATGTTTCACATTCATTCCCTCGCCCACGCTGGCTAGACTTTCTCCGCAGTGGTCCCACATCTCCAGTCCACCCCTTTCCTGACAGTGAGGGCACTGAGACTTGTGAGGTGACTCACCTGGACCTTGAAGGTGGTTATGGGCCCATAGAGAAATTCATGGTAATTGTGCAGTGGCTGTTACTTATCATCGTAACATCCCAGTATTTTCTTTACCTAGAACTTAAGGAACTGGACAGTTCAACTACTTATCTCCCTTTTGATCTTTGTACATTCAGCATGACATAATCCAAATAATTACCAGCTGCCCAGAATATGAAGGTTCCTGGCTCCCAAGAGCCACATAGCTTCCTGATCTCCTTTTTTGGCAAAAAGCCATTTGTCTTGAAAGCTTCCTTTGGGGGGATTCTGACAGTATTTCTAAATTCAGAATATTCCTAAGAACTTCGATGTCAGGGAGATTATTTTGGTAACAGGCACATATTGATTGCAACTCACCATGGTTAACTTCAACAATTAGCATTAGTTAGTTGTTAACTTCAACATAAGCAGCCATGTAGCACAACCGCAAGGTCTACAGTCAGTGGCGTCTGGGCAGGACACTAGAGACTCCTGCAGCCAGGCTGAGAGGCTCCAGTTGGTCAGCCTTTTACACTGGTATCTGACAGCACAGAAGAAATCGCAACTCTGAATGACGCCACAGTAGCAACTGTTTCTAAACAGAATGTTTATACTGGTTTCCAAAGTGATGCAACAGCATGTAACTGAGTTGAAGGGAACTCAATCCTAAATGTGTGATTCCACTTCAGATAATTTCTGAGGCTTGCCTCAGATTGATGGTTCCAGGTTCAAAGACAGTGCATTCCCAACAGGACCATCTGCTCTGGCTGACAATGTAATTGAGGAAAATCATGGCATATCTACTAGAACGAATAGTATACAAACACTGGTAGTTAAGGAAACATGTTTTCTAGCTAACCTGTACTTTGCTATTTATTTTGTAAGGTTCATAATTTTATTTCATGGTTCACAAAGCAGAGAACCCTGGGGTCTCTAAAGACACCTGCAAAGGGTCAAAACAATTTTCCTGATACTCATTCTTTTCCATTGTTTTGACATTTGCAGTGATGATAAAAAAGCAAGGGTGGGTAATACTGCTGGCACCTTTCACAAATCAAGACAGGGGCACCTATCTGTACAAGGAGTCACTGTAGTTGTCACTGCCCTACATTTAATTTAAAAAGCTTAATGTCCTTGATGAAGCAGTAAAAAATTATTAAATTTGACCCTTGACTGCTTGTCTCAATATTCTCTGTAATGTCAAACACTGCTGGTGCACACTGAGGTATAACTGTCACCTTAAGGAAAAAAAAAAGACTTGTGTGGCTGAGTCCTGAGCTGAACTAGCTGCTTTTGTCATCAAACATTTTTACTTGCAAAACAACTGACACAATCTAGTTATGCAGATCTAGATGTTCAGCAGATATAAACTACAAAAGATTCATTTTCATGGTTCCAGAGTCCACATTTCAACTAATCACAAGTGTCTAGAAAGGTTATTAAATCTGCCTTCCAGTGCAGGAGACCAGTTCAATCCCTGGTCAAAGCACTAAGATCCCACATGCTATGTGGCCAAAAAAGACTTTTCCTTTCCTAACTAAATAGCTGTATGAGGCCAAATTTTGAATACAGAAGAGTCTCTGTTCAAAAAAGTTGTAAAAAATAGTACAGTGCCATTCATTCTTGCTTGACTTCTGTTTGGGGAAACATGCTCACATTATTGCTTACATTAACATGCAATGCTTATTAGTGTCATTTAAATGGGTTAACAGTTTTAAAAAGTTGTTTTAACTATTAATAATAAGTAGGAATAGATACAATCCCACATAAACTAGTGCTCTTTGGGATCATCAATAATTTGAATATGGTTACTTTATAGTAAACTTCTAAATCAGGGAGTTTAAAATCTTTTATTCTTTTTCAAAATTGAGCTGGTTATTCTAGGTTTTTTCACTTTCATATTTATGTGAATTTATGGCGGGGGAGCCTTCTATGATACCGACAGAAATGACATCAACTTTATAGGTATTTTTGGTGAAAACTGGCATCTCACAAGTTCTGAATCATGAATGTATTTTCTCTCTCCATTTGTTTTAATCTTCAGTTTTTTCAGCATGATTTTGTAGTTACCTTCTGTTAAATTTATCACCAGTTAATTCTCTATTCTTGTTTTGCAAAATTTCATATTGGTTTTATTGCTCTTTTAATTTTGAGACCTTGCTAAACAAGCTTTTTAAAGAGCTATTTTTATAAAAACATTGCTTAGGATTTGCTGCATACAAGATTAGGTCACCTATGAATAAAAATAGCTTTACATCTTCAAAAAAATTGCATATTTTTGATTATAGACAGATCCTAAGAAAAAGTTTGAGAACCACTACAGTGAGATATCTGCTTACATGGAGACCAACCTCTTGCTATTGTACCAATGCCTGTGTTGAAATGATTGTCAACAATTACACCTTTTTTTGGTATGATGTCTACATTTGGATACTAGGGAGGAGGATCATTGAAAAATGTTTACCTCGAAAGTTTCCTATTAATCTTTTCCCCATTCTTCCCTTCTGTTTTAGTTACTTTTAGAGTGGCAACAACTCTTATTTTTAGTTCCTTCTGTCAGACCATCAACCATCATCCTATTCAGAGGAAAGTTATGGAAGATCCCTTATAGTTTATTACTAATTCATTCTGTTTCTTCTTGTACAGCACTCAATACTGCTGCCCAGTATTGAGCTACCTGTTTTGTGATTTAAACACTTCTCCAAATAATCCTGAAGAACAGTCATGGTGTTAACATACACGTGAGGGGACAAGCTCAGAAGCTCAGCCTGCCCTCAGTTTAAGCCCGAGTAATGCACTGCTGCAGTTCCTCTTTATACTATAGCCCATCATATGGATGGTCTAAGTGGCGACTCGGTATCACAGACACAGCACCAGGTTAAAGTTTTTAAAAAACAATTCTTAACTATGCTGTAAGAAAACCTGTACGGAAAAATTTTAACTTGTTTCTATTAGGGAAGGGAAAAGAGGAAAATTCCGTTGATAAAAACCAGTTGATTCTAAGTATGTCTACGAGAACAAATCTTGATTCTGAAAAGGAGCTCCCAGGGACCATTTTTCTTCTCCCTCTTGATGTTGATAAACATGAAGAAAGAGGGCAGAGACCCAGGAGAAACACCAGTATGCCCAGGACCTGAGCAGCAAGATGGTCCCTAAGACAAACCAAAAAACGAAAAGGGATTTTTCCAACTAATACAGTAATTTCCTACAGGAATATAGGTGGTGGGGAGAAGAAGACAGGAGTTCTAAGGTTTAAAAAAGCACTTCTGTGGAGTTTATGGTTAATGACTCGACTTTAAAGCAATACAAAGCTAGGTGGGGGCTCTCTAGCTCTACTGAGAATTAACTGTGAAATGAATTTAGGGTAACATTCTCAGTCATACACCAAAAAACTTGAATTCAAACACTGGTTTTAAAAAAATCAACTTAAAATATTCATAATTTGAAGACCTTTACAATTCATGGTGAAGGACAGCATGTTCACTATGTGCTTATACATTGTTATTTCAAGTTAATAAAATTTAACATCCATGACCTCTTCATCTGAATGAAATGCTTAAACTGGTTAAAATGATGGAGGTAGCCCACGTCAGCACTGATGGGTTTTTCTGACCTCTGCATGGACCTCACAAACTACTGGAATGCACAGTGTGATGCAGTGTTTTCACATGTCCCAACCCCTCTTCTCTCTATACTACCTTAGTATCCAGTATGAAATGGTTCTTGTGGTTTAAGAGAGATTTAAGTAAAACTGCCATTCTCCATGTTGTTTCCACAGTCCAGTAATTTATTTTAAATTTGAGTAATTTCAAATTCCACAAACAAAACTGAAGAACAGCAATATTTTGTCTGAATTCTTTCTTCTGTACACTCAGTGATCTAAAACACCACAATATCCAACATACACACACCTCAGGGAAGGGTTAATAAATACACACAGATTGGAATCATGGTGCTCTGTTCCTGAATGGAATGGTCCCACAGAAAGCACAGGATACAAGCACAACGTAAGGGCACCTGTTACATGTGAAGTGAGCAGAAACACACTAGCGTCTTCTATATAGCGCCATGAGGAAACCTGCATAGGTTAGAGGGCCTTTTATGCTCATTTAAGTCAGGCAAGTTGTCTGTAATGCATTTTTCAAACAATTTGGAGAGCACTGCGATCCCATGGAGGATATGCTCGTTAGTGTTGTCTTTGTTGGCATTGACAGTCTTGCATGGTCATATACCAGTATTTTTGCTTTAGCTTGTCTTGGAATAAAAGATTTAAATGCATTTAGACAATACATACTGTAAGCTGTTTACATACACTAAATTTAAGAGATTCAATATTAGAGTTTTTTTTTTCTTTAAACACTACAGAGTGCAAATCAGGTTCTTCACAACAGATTGAGTATTAAGCAGTTCTTCAAAGAATGAGGGGGAAGAAGAAAAGCCCAAGTGAATAAAACATTGAAACTATTCCCCTTTGA